TTTCAATAAGACAGTACAAAAAGCAGGTCCGTATTTAAAGAAATAAATTGATGATGATTCCAGAGGAACGAAACGTTGGATTTTAAATTTAATACCACCATCTTGTAGAGAAGAAAAAGTGACAATGGGAATGTAAAACTAGTTTTTCACAATCTTTTTAAATAAAATCAGAAAAAAATGAAAACTATACGAAAAAAGCATGAATTTCTCGTTTTTCTTAAATTTTTTCCAGATTCCATGTGAAAAGATTTTGAAAAACTAATTTCACATTCCCATTGTCACTTTTTCTTCTCTACAAGATGGCGGTATTAAATTTGAAATCCAACGTTTCGTTCCTCTGGAATCATCATCAATTTATTTTTTTTAATACAGACCTGCTTTTTTTACCGTGTTATTGAATAATTATAACCAGTATCGGTTTTAGGATGTCCAAAGATGGCAAAATCGCAAATAAAAAATCTAGGTCTGTATTTAAAAATTGTAAGTTGAGGATGGCCGCCTGAAGACGAAACGTCGAATTTTAAATTTAGTAGCACCATCTTCTAAAGGGAAAAAAATGACAATGATGAAGTGACATTTATTTTAAAATTGCTTTTCAAATAAGCGCGGGAAAAAATAAAAACGATTTTACAAAATTTCAGTTTTGTCCGAATATCTCCGGAAGTATTCGGAATCTTTCTAGTTTCAAAACGGCATTCTATTGGTCATAAAATTGCGCAACTTTGTCATAATTTAATCGACCCCGTATCTCTTACGGTTGCCGAGATCCCAATGATGAGGCTCGAATTTGGGCCACCCTGTACAGTCAGCAAATAAAAGGCCTATTCGGGTTTGGAAAAAGGACGGTTCTAGAACGGTTCAAAACAATCGTCCAGTTCATTGATCAACAAAATAACAACGACTCGACTATCACAAATTTCAATAATAAACTGTGCGATTCTTCTGGACCGTTCTAGAACCGTACTTTTTCCAAACCCGAAAAGGCCTAAAGTGTTGTCCCAAATTAAAAATTCACGGGCCTCTAAAACAGAATCTTTTGACTACAATAGTTTTTTTTTTTATTACAACTGATGACCAACCATATACATAGAACAAGCAAAAAATTTTTTTTGCTGACTGTACATATTTCAGTAAGAAAGTGTTCATTTCTAGAAACCTACACAGTGAATATTGTACAGGGTGGTCCAAATTGGACACTTTCTTATGGAAACACCCTTTATTTTTAGAGATAGAAAAAAATGGACCCCCCACTCTGAGGTTCAAATTTCTTGAAATTTTGATTGGTGCAAACCGCATTTTGATATCTTCAACCGTTTAGCCGCTAGAGGGCGATTCTCGATTTTGAGCAATACTGTAAATCCCCCATAACTTTTTTGTTTATGAAAATAATAAATTTCCGTAAAGACCTTTTGGAAGCACTTTTTCAAGCAGAATTCAGTGACGTTCTCAGTTTTTTTCTGTCTGGCTTCGATTTCGAGATATTGACCAAAATCCGATTTTTTTCAATAGGATACCCTATATATTAATAGTTCATTAGAAAGCTATGCTTTCGCTGATTTCAATGATATAAAGTTCGATAGGTTTATCTCTAACAGTTTTCGAGAAAGAAAATTATTTCGGTTTTTGTCATAAGGAACAATGTGTTAGAAAGAGAACTTTCTCAGTTTCCTTACAGAGATGAAGTCCTTTTCCAACACATTGTTTCTTATGACAAAAACCGAAATAATTAAAACAATAAAAACAAATCTCTAAAAATAAAGGGTGTTTCCATAAGAAAGTGTCCAATTTGGCCCACCCTGTACAGGGTGATCCAGTATAAAGTGAATACCCCCTACCTTTTCGCTAAAATTTTTTTTTTTGAAAAAATCAAGATAGCTATTTAGGGTATTTTGTTTCTAGGAATTTGAAAACGTTTTTTGAAATTTAATTGGATTTTTCGTTAAAGCGCTGTGACGACAAAAGTAATTTTTTTAAATGGAATAACCTACATTTAAATCCATTTCTTAAACGCCCTTATTTTTCTCATTTCAAATATATACAGGGTGTATATTTTAAGTGATACCACTATTAGTATATCCGAAACGGTAAGAGCTGCAAGGTCGGTTAAATTAGAGAAAAGTTGCCTTTTTTGATGCCCATTCAAAACTTGTTTACAGTGTTGTCAAATTCCTTTTAGTTTATGAAATACAGGGTGATTTCTTAAAAACGCCAAAAACTATTCCATCAGCTATTTCAAAAACTATTGATATTCGAGACACATTTTAAATTTGAAAGTTTTATAATTTTTTTCGCTCTACAACAAGGCATTTTCAAATTTTAAATCCGACGTTTCGTGATCGAGCTTCCATCATCAACTTCATTTTTTTTAATACGGACCTGGTCTTTTTATGTCATTTTTACAAAGGGAATAAAAGGCACTTTCTAAAAATGACATAAATAATGCAGGTCCGTATTTAAAAAAATGAAGTTGATGATGGTAGCTCGATTACGAAACATCGGATTTGAAATTTGATGACACCATGTTGTAGAGCGAGAAAAATTAAAAAACTTTAAAATTTAAATTGTGTTTCGAAAATCAATAGTTTTCAAAATAATTGATGGAATAGTTTTGGGCGTTTCTTAGAAATCACCCTGTATTTCATAAACTAAAAAGAATTTGACAACACTGTAAACGAGTCTTAAATGGGCATCAAAAAACGCAACTTTTTCCTAATTTAACCGACCTTGTAGCTCTTACCGTTTCGGATATAGCAATAGTGGTATCACTTAAAATATACACCCTGTATAGTTTGTTTATGTTTATTTTAGTAATTTGGAATATATTCTCACTTAAGAATCTTAAGATTCAAATAGAAATAGCCGAAAAGGTATCAAGGTAAATCTAAATAATTTTACCTTTAATAAAACTACTGGTTATTATGTTTTATGATACTTTTTCGGCTATTTTTATGTGAATTTTGGAGTGAGATTATATCGCAAATTACTAAAATAAATATAAACAAACTATATATTTGAAATGGGGGCGTTCAAAAAATTGATTTGAATATAGGTTATTCCATATAAAAAAATTACTTTTGTCGTCACAGCGTTTTAACGAAAAATCTAATTAAATTTCAAAAACCGTTTTCAAACTCCTAGAAACAAAATACATTAAATGGCTATCTTGATTTTTTCAAAAAAAATTTTTTTAGCGAAAAGGTAGGGGGTGTTCACTTTATACTGGATCACCCTGTACAGATATTCAGAAATTTTAGGGAGAAATGAAAAATCTCTCAGAAATTTTGAAAATTATCAATTTTTTTTCCAGAAATTTCATAAGAAATTAGTAATTATTTGAGGAATTCAGTAGGGATGTACCGGAATTCCGGCGGTACCACTAAATCCGGCCGATCCGGCCTATAGCCCGAAACTACCGTTCCGGCCGGATCGCAACCGCGATCCGGCCGGACACTTTTTTGAGACAGATATTTTCGTGCTTTGAAAACATTCCGATCGTCGTTTGTTTTCGAGTTATTAACCAAACTTTTCTTATTTCTTATGGCGGCCATCTTCGATTTCAACAAAATAATATTCTGCGAAAAAAATCCTTTAAAATAATGTATTACAAGCTATGAAAACGTTTTGCAAGTCCTTCAAAATCACAGTTGGAATCGATATTTTGCTAAATTTGGCAACAATGCTCATAGTTATAAGAATATAACCAAATAAGTATGATTTAATACCTAGAATCGGTATTTTTGAAGTCTTCTGGTAATTTTACTGGATAAAGAAAAAAGAAGTAGATAAGGTATTCCACATGTTTTTTTTTTGTAATGTAAACAGGATTTTTGCTGAAAGATTTATTTTACATACACACCGATTTTAATATTAAATTTACATAATTATTATGTTTGCTTTTTTTTTTTTTTTCACTCCACTATCCCTTACTTCATTCCCCCTTACTTTTTTTTTCTTTCAGTAAAATTGCCAGAAGACTTCAAAAATACCGATCCTAATATTAAATCATAAAATATGTTTTTTTTTTAAAGATAATTCCCCAAGTCAAAAATTTAGTAACTATGTTGGCAACACAAGCCTTTTCTACATAAAAAAAATTGAAAGCATTGACAATTTTACATTGTATTGCCAACATAATGTCATTTTGACTTTTATCTTTGAAAAAAAAAACAGACTTTACTTATTACTTATTTGCTTTTATTCTTATAATTATGAGCAGTGTTGCCAAATTTAGCAAAAAAATCGGTTCCAACTGTATTTTGAAGGACTTGCAAAACTTTTTCATAGCTTGTAATACATCATTTTAAAGGATTTTTTTTGCAGAATATTATTTTGTTGAAATCTAAGATGGCCGCCATAAGAAATAAGAAAAGTTTGGGTAATAACTCGAAAACAAACGACGATCGAAATGTTTTCAAATCATGAAAATATCTGTCTCAAAAGTGTCTGAATAATGTTAAAGTGAGAGAACTCTAAAGTTAACGATTTATCAACTATTGACCAAAAACAAAATTGGCTATTTTCAGTTTTTCTCGGATTTCTAGGAAACAGAAAACTTTGAAGCAAATTTAACAACAGGATATAAATGAGCAATAAATTCCCTAAAACTTTCCTAATTTGAGCCACCCTGTATACTGTATGTCCCATAATAAGCGAGATCTCCATATAGAGACTCGAATTTCGGACACACTGTATACCTAAGAGTTGATTTTCAAGAATGTTTTATCTGGTGGTTTTTCATTAGAAAAATTGAAAATTTCCATATAGGGACCTCATGATTTCACTCTTTTTCAAGTTTCAAGATTGTGATCAATGAAATCAAATCAAAATTGCTTTATTGTAGGAACACACAGTTTGATTGTTTTCGAACATTTTAAAGATGATTTCACCTACTCAATTTTCAAGACAAATCTAGAGTTAAGGCTTGAGTACAATTTTTTTGCTATTTCACTCAAATACAAAGCAAAACAACACCAAATTAAATCAATAATAATTATTATTACCTGATATCCATATCCCGGATATCCGTAATTGGTCCCATATTGATACTGATAGGTATTATCGTATCCAGGAGGGGGATATTGAGGCGTCGACTGAAAAATAAGGCAAAATAATTTTCATAAAACTCAAGTACTTACAACAAAATATAAACTTACATTATTATACATTGGACCGGAATAAAAACCCGTCCACTTCTCCGAACTAATAAAATCTTTGTTTAGGTGTATTTCGGTGGCCGGTAACTGCGGCAACGGTGACGTATCTGCGAAACGACTATCACCCATAACTAAACAACATTAAAAATTTACAATAAAACTGAAACAATTAAAAAGGTTCCCTTTTTGTGTGAGTGAAGGACGCCATGGCCGAATGGCGGCTCCACCTTGAGTTGGACTTTATGGAAAAAGTGCAGTAAAATTTAATTGAATAATTGAATTTATCGGTTCACGAAACGATAATTTAATGGTTTACTTACGAAATTATCAATTATTTGGGCATTTTTCTAAAATTAAAATACACACAAAACACGAGCAGCACAAAACACACATAAACCAAAATTTGGAATGATGTGATGTTTGTGTGGTGTTGACAATTGAATTTAAAATTGACGTTACCATTTTTAAGTGTCACAATGACTTTTTCAGGTTTTCATTTGAATCTGCTCCGAGCACCTACTCTAAAATGAGCAGCATTAAAGTCTGTTTTTTTTTTAAAGATAATTCCCCAAGTCAAAAATTTAGTAACTATGTTGGCAACACAAGCCTTTTCAACATAAAAATTTGAAAGAAGTGACAATTTTACATTGTATTGCCAACATAATGTCATTTTGACTTTTATCTTTTAAAAAAAAACAGATTTTAGTTGTATTCCTTTCACACCTAGGAGGAGCTCCGGAACAGCTCCGGGGCTTCACGCGCTTATTCCTTTCGAAAAGTGTTTGTTGCACCACGTATCTGTTCCCTGCAAATCGGGGGCTACTTAACACCGGAGCGAGTAGCTCGAGTGTTCAAATATTTGAAAGGAATACAACTATTGTATGCAAGTATCCTCCAAGCAAAATGGTAACCTCCTCTACTATAGATTTACAGAAAAATGGTCATGAACTGTGGTAGGCAGTGTTATAAGTTTATGCTTTTATATTTAAATCTCTTAAACTTAAGATCAAACGATAGAATTGGGCTTCACTAGGTTTGCTCACTCCATGCACTCCGAGCCAATTTTGGCTCTAGAGTCAAACCGCGAGAACTAGGTTCTTTGTTCTGGGTTCAATTAGAATCGGTTCCAGATCGACTCTGAACTAAAAAAAAAAAATAGTTCTACAGGGCCGAGTTCAGAAATAACGCACAGGGTGCGAGTGCGATTTTATTGGTGTGCCTGAATTGACAATTGGCCATTGGGCCCATAGCACCGTCTAGCATTTTTGAACAGCTAGGGCGTCGCACCGGTGTCACACTCACACTGGGTGTGTCATTCCTGAACTCGCCCCAGATAAGCACTTAAAATTTAAGATTTCTTGAAAATTCCTACAAATCACAATGTTTTAATGATGTTCGTCTATGCATATCTGTCCGTTTTTTTCTTAGGCGAACAGATAAGGGGAAAATAAAACCAATCAACAAAATTTTACTTTTGTTTAAATTTTAATTATGTAACTTAAAAAAAAAGGATCTAGAACTGAATCATTTGTCCTTTACGTTTCTTGTCACCTCCCAGTTCGAAGTGCTTGCACCTTTTCAGAGGGATTTGTTTCCTGTACTTGCACTCGGCGCATTCCATTCTCAGCACGATTTTCTTGGTGGTCTTTGCCTGAAAAAAAAAAAGAAATCATCAGATATTGAGTCATACTTTCTAAAGTTTTAAATGTTTTGCAAAGTTAATTAATTTTAGGGGTATACAAAATTTGGACATCAAGCTTACTCTGCTACAAAATTAAAGTTAAATTTAAATGGACACGTGAACGGATATTCCAACAATAAACAATGAATACTGGCACGAGAAACAAAGAACGATCATGGAACAAGCAAAAATGATCTCTTGAAAATAACCAAGAGACCAAAAAAAAAAAAAACGAATTACACAGAAAATCCTGGATCTAATGGAATCACGTGGGAAACATAAAAATAAAGACATTTAACGAATACAGTAAGTTCAACGAAACCATGAAAAGGAAAATTAAAAAAGCCAAAGATTTTTTGCTCAAAGTTTACTGTAAAGGGATAGATCTCCAGAAAAGAATCTAACAGCTTCAATCTTCATAAAAAGCACAAAAACCCTGCTGGAATCAACAAAACATGCCCACCTAATGAAAGACTAAGACGGGAAACTCCTTGATCACAAACAATAATCCAGAGAATGGGAAAACATACATCACTGACTTCTTTGACAATGCTAACTGAAGCTTGGGAGTGGAATTAAGTATGTTTTCTTTTTCTCAATTTTTGTGTATTCCATGATCTTTTTGGTTCAGAATTCCGGAATTTTTCTAATTTTTTTAGATGCAATTTTTTGTTTTTTGTTTTGAAAAAAAAAAGATACTGGGTGTATCATTTGAAACGAAATAGGCTAAATATCTGATGCCACGTTTATTTTTTAAAAAATCGCTCATACACGTAATTTGATTTTTGAAGGTTTTCTGCAACCATTTTCAGCACTTCAACTTTAACCGTCTACGTGGGGTGGGACCAACCCTTACTACTTCAAATGGAATAAGGGGTCGAGTCATACCTCTTTTATAAGAGCCTTCAATTCTCTTTCATTTGATGTCATTTGAAAGAAAATTGAACGCTCTTTTAAAACAGGTATCAGTCGACCCCCTGTTCCATCTGGAATGGTAACGGTTGGTCCCACCGCCCCACCCCCTAGAGGGTGGTTGAGCTAGTGCTGAAAATGTTTCAAACATTCACACACTCAAATTATGCATATGATTGATTTAAAAAAAAAAGAAAAGTGACATCAGATATTCAGCCTGTTTCGTTTTAAAATTTAAGGATGCACCAAGTATTCGGTTTGCAGAATAATTGCCGAATCGAGGGGTGTGACACTTCCAAGTATTTTGTACACCTGATTTTTGATTTTCATTACCTTAATGGAAATCAATGAAATCAAAAATTAGATTTGGTAAAGTTTCATGAGTTCACTTGATTTCAACGATTTCCTGAGATAATTATTTGATTTTACTTGATTTTGCTGATTTCACTTGATTTTGTTGATTCCATTGACTTCCCAGATTTACATTGATTTCCCAAGAGTAAATGTGATTTTACTAGATTCACACAGATTTCATAGTTTCAGTACCATTTGCTATATGTCGAGATCGAAATTATTGGTAACGACTCATACCATTAGCAACGCTATATCAAGTTAGTAGCATCATAATAGAGTTGAGAAGTTTTACTGCGCCAATACTACCACTTCACAGAAATTACACCATGCTGTGCTGTGAGTAATTTCAATCTTGGGTAGTATAGGCGTCAGGCGAGGGGCGAATAGCTGACCCAAAATGTGTACACTGAGGTCACCGACACAAATTTCACAATCTTTAAGGGGGAAACAGCACCCCATGTACAGGGTATTTAATTATATTTGGCACCATACCTACTGTAGGTATGGTGCCAAATATAATTAATAGTAAAGGCTGTAACAGCCTTTACTATTTAAGATAGAATTTTTTTTTAAATACAAAACCTGACAGTTTTTTTCTATATTTTCTGATAACGTTATCAGAAAAAACAAAATCGCATCGGAAAATGGAGAAACGTAAGCAAGTTCGACTTTTTTTAATGGAACACCCTGTGAAAAAATGAAAGATCTATTCTTTCTGATTCCAAATATATATATATATATATATATATATTGATAACATTTGCGTGAGCAATTTTTGACATATCTCAGGTTAAATTATCAAGAATTTGCAGAGAAATCCCATAAGCATCTCTATCTTTATAAAATTTCTTTGCAATTTAGTTATAATTTAAGCTGAGATATGTCAAAAATGGCTCACGCAACATATATATATTTATAATCAGGAAGAAAAAGTCTTTCATTTTATCGCAAAATATACAGGGTGTTCCATTTAAAAAAGTCGAAGTTGTTTACGTTTCCCCATTTTCAGATGCGATTTTGTTTTTTCTGATAACGTTAAAAGAAAATATAGAAAAAAACTGTTAAGTTTTGTATTTACAACTTTTTTCTAAAACAGTAAAGGCGCGTTAGGTATGGTGCCAAATATAATCAAATACCCTGTACATTGTGTCCCAAATTGCTTGTAATCACAGGGTTCCTCGGTAACCAGCAGAAATATGAGATGGTTCACCCCTATTATATTTTGTAAAGCAGGGTGGAACAAAAGATCCGTCAATCACACGATAGATGGTGGTTGACGGAAGTGACAGTCAGTGACGGAAAAGGTCAGAGAGAAAGGAGTCACGGTCTTTCTTAAAGCTCTAGCTCTGATTGTTTATCTGTATTTGGTATCAATATAACGTTTTATTGTTTCGTTCTCGTGTTGAATTTATCCACGACCCATATTCGGTGTTGAGCTGTTTCAAATAGAACTTTGCGGTTTTCGCCAACCTGTATCAATTTTTCGTAAATCTTTGAGACTGCCGCAAACAGAATTGTGCCACCTTGTTCCGTTCCCGAGATACAGGGTAAAATAGAAATTTTGCGCTTTTTGGGTTGGTATCATATTTCGGACACCCTGTAAGATAGAAAAAAGGTGAAAACTACTATAGATAGATATTTTCATGTAGAATCCAGTGTTGTAGTCAATAGTTAATATTGCTCCACTAAGTTCATTAAGGCTCCACTACAGGCAAAAAGATACTTAGTCACAGACCGCGAGACGAAAGTTCAAGAAAGGCTAGACAATTTCGACATGCATTAAAAAGCTTAATCTACGTCGGTGTCATTATGACACATTTAGCATTGTCATTTGAATGTCATTAGGTCCTTCATAATAGCACTAGTGCGTTTAAGAATTCATAATAACACCCAAATTTTGAAATGAAAAATATACAAAAAGAAAGTTAGTTGCCAGAAGAACCTTTTCAATAATGCTGTCTCTATATTCGAAGAGACACTTTCAAACTCAGATTCACCAATAATAATATTATTTTCCACCATAAAATTGAATTTATGGCACAAAAATGGACTCCAATATTGAAGCTGCCAAAGTCAAAATTCTAAAAACCAACAAGCAGGTTCTCGACTTGTACGGGCACCTGCTAAATTTCAAATTTTAATTTGAAAAGTTTTTGCTATTTCAAGGCAAATCAAATCTATTTGAACCATTGTAGATTAAATTTTGAATGATACACGTTCGATATGAACTTTATTAATGAAACTTGTGTAACTAAACGTTTAACGTTACACGCGTTTCATTATGGCGTTCATATCGAACTTGTATCATTAATAACTATAATGAAACACAAAACTACACTAAAATAAATCGTTTTAACGCTGCATTGAATAATTTTAGTCAAAAATGCATCAAATCAGTGCTCACGAAAAACCAATCTATGGCATCAATAAAGCAATAACAGACTTCATTTTTGGAACAAAAACTTATAAGGGTTCAATCTACCAGCCTACAGAGCGATTTTTCAAAAAAAAAAAATTCATCGCTCATATTTGCGTTCAAAAAAGAGCAAAAAAAGG